GTTGCTCCTTTCTCCATGATTTGTGTCTCCTGTGGTTAGACTTAGCTCACATTTGTTCCCTAGTTCAGTAAGTCTGTGTCCACATGTATACACCCTGCCCTTTTGGCAGCCTGATTGTTCTGATGTGTCTGTGGCCTGCCCAAGGAATATGGGTACAATGGGATCACCAGGGAAGTGACAGACTTGGGCTTCGGCCCTGGCTCTGCCACTCCTCTCCACATGCAATCTTACCTGAGCACCTGTAAATTGGGCAGTTGTGGTTAAACTTGTGAATGCTAGGTGGTCTTCTAAACTCCTCCTGGCTGGGTGCGGTGACTTGCACTTGTAATCCCAGCACTTTGGGAGGCCAAGGTGGACGGATCGCCTGAGCTTGGGAATTTGAGACCACCCTGGGAAACATGGTGAAACCCCATCTCTACTAAAATACAAAAAAATTAGCCAGACGTGGTAGCACGCGCCTGTAGTCCCAGCTACTTGGGAGGCCGAGGCACGAGAATCACTTGACCCCGGGAGGCAGAGGTTGCAGTGAGCCAAGATTGTGCCACTGCACTCCAGCTTGGGCTACAGAGTGAGACTCCATCTTAGATAGATAGATGGATAGATTAATTAGATAGATTAGATTAGATTAGATTAGATAGACTGATTCCATCTCAGATAGATAGATAGATTGCACCACTGCTCTCCAGCTTGGGCTAGAGTGAGATTCCATCTCAGATAGGTAGGTAGGTAGGTAGGTAGGTAGATAGATAGATGGATGGATGGATAGATAGATAGATAGGTAGATAGGTAGATAGATAAGATAGATAACCAGGTGTGGTAGATAGATAGATTACCAGGTGTGGTAGCATATGCCTGTAGTCCGAGCTACTCGTGAGCCTGAGGCAGGAGGATTGCTTCAGCCCAGGAAGTCAAGGCTGCAGTGAGCTGTAATCCCACCCCTGCACTCCAGGCTGGATGACAGGGTAAGACCTTGTTTCAAAGAAAGTAATTGGCTGAACGCGGTGGCTCAAGCCTGTAATCCCAGCACTTTGGGAAGGCCAAAGCAGGCAGATCACGAGGTCAGGAGATCGAGACCATCCTGACTAACACGATGAAACCCTGTCTCTACTAAAAATACAGAAAAAATCAGCTGGGCGTGGTGGCGGGTGCCTGTAGTCCCAGCTACTTGGGAGGCTGAGGCAGGAGAATGGCATGAACCCAGGAGGCAGAGGTTGCAGTGAGCCAAGATCGCGCCACAGCACTCCAACCTGGGTGACAGAGTGAGACTCCGTCTCAAAAAAAAACAAAAAAAACAAAAACAAAACCTGTTGTTGGCAGGAGGCTGGAAGATGGGTAGGGAGGGTCCTGTGAGGGGAGTGGGTACTATTGCAGGAAAGCCAGCGAGGTACAGGCCTGAGCTTTGTGGGAGTTTGATTCTCAAAGGTGCTGGAGCTTAGACCTTAGCTCTAGGGAACTAGGTCACTAAATACCCAAGAGGGTGCTTGGACAGGCCTCTGCCTCGCTTTGTTGGAAAGCCAGGCTTTTAGCACAAGGATGCCTGGTAAAGGTGGAGCCAGAAGTTAGAGAGTAGTTGGTAGCTGGCTGGGGACTGCCCTTGCTCCAGGGTCATTGTGGCCTGAGTGCAGGCTGGTTTACCATCTTCCCAGAAATGGTGGCCCTGCCACCTGCACAGTGCTCTCTTGCACTGAGGAGGGCCCACCAGCACTTTATTTTTTAATTAAAAAAAAATATATATATATATATATGGCCGGGCGTGGTGGCTCAAGCCTGTAATCCCAGCACTTTGGGAGGCCGAGATGGGTGGATCACGAGGTCAGGAGATCGAGACCATCCTGGCAAACACGGTGAAACCCATCTCTACTAAAAAAAAAGAAAAAAAAAAGAAAAAAAATTAGGACCAGGTGCGGTGGCTCATGCCTGTAATCGCAAGCACTTTGGGAGGCTGAGGCAGGCAGATGACGAGGTCAAGAGATCAAAACCATCCAGGCCAACATGGTGAAACCCTGTCTCTACTAAAAATACAGAAAAAATCAGCTGGGCGTGGTGGCGGGTGCCTGTAGTCCCAGCTACTTGGGAGGCTGAGGCAGGAGAATTGCCTGAACCCGGGAGGCGGAGGTGCAGTGAGCCAAGATCGTGCCACTGCAGTCTAGCCTGGAGACAGAGCAAGACTGTTAAAAAAAAAAAAAAAAAAAAAAAAAATTAAGTAGGGACAAGGTCGTACTTTGTTGCCCAGGTTGGTCTGAAACTCCTGGCTTTAAGTAATCCTTCTACCTTGGCCTCCCAAAGTGCTGGGATTACAAGTGTGAGCCACTGTGCCTGGCCCCACCTGTGCTTTAGAGGCCATTACGGAGTAGTAGGTGGACTTTGTGACTCAAGCTAGTGATTTGCTCTGGGATTTAGCTTTGCTTTCCAATCCCTGCAGGGAGAATAATTCACCCCAGCAGCTTTTCTGGAGGACTTAGGATAAGATCAACTCCCTCCCTTCCCTTAGGTTCACACATTAGTGCTACAGCCATCCTTTGTTGTGACCTCCCTTGTCCCTGCTTTGTCCTGACACTGTGGGTGACCACTCTGGGTATCATGGTCAACCCCCACCTCGCATGCCCAAGGTGCCTTGCTCTGACCTTTGAATACCTACTCTGATCTGTAAGGCAGGTCTTCATTCCTGTTGTTACCTGAAGAGGCCTGGGTCCAGACCTTACTGCTAGAACTAGGCCTCCTGAATCCAAATTCGTGGCTCTCTCTGCTAAACCCTGAAGATCTGGCTTGCACCATGGGAATTGGTTGCCTTTTAACTGGGCAACCTATAGGGTCTTTTAACTGGGCATGTTCTGAAGTTAAGCTACTGGTGGGCACTGGGCTTGGAGTCAAGCTCTAGCCTGGCATCCTGCAGCTTAGTGGATTTTTGGAAGTGTGGGGAGGGCAGGAGCTTCTCCAACTGTTATGAGATGTGACAGTCCCAGGGGATGTGTCAAGAGCTCTCATTTTGGTGGTTCTGCTTTTCTCTTACCATCCATCATTCCCCCGAAGAAACAACTCCAGAGTGCCCCCACCAGGGCTTCACTGGGGCTTTTGGAGCACTCAGGGACCTTCCTTTGCTGAACCATGGGCTCCCTGGCACCTATAGGGTCTTAGCTTTATGGATACCAGAGGAGGGACTTTCTTCAGTGAGGCCCTTAGAGTTCTTTAAGTCAAGCATAATGGCTAACGTTTAGTCTGATCTCTGCCACCTGGACCTCTCAACTTGGTGGCACGACACCTGGTAAAGAAGTGCCACCAAAGGTCATTGGGCCAGGTGCGGTGGCTCACGCCTGTAATTCCAGCATTTTGGGAAGCCAAGACGGGCAGATCACCTGAGGTTGGGAGTTTGAGACCAGCCTGACCAACATGGAGAAACCCCATCTTTACTAAAAATACAAAATTAGGCCGGGCGCTGTGGCTCAAGCCTGTAATCCCAACACTTTGGGAGGCTGAGGCAGGCGGATCACGAGGTCAGGAGATCGAGACCATCCTGGCAAACACGGTGAAACCCTGTCTCTACTAAAAATGCAAAAAATTAGCCGGGCATGATAGCAGGCACCTGTAGTCCCAGCTACTCAGGAGGCTGAGGCAGGAGAATGGCGTGAAACTGGGAAGCGGCGGAGCTTGCAGTGAGAGGAGATAGCGCCACTGCACTCCAGCCTGGGTGACAGAGCGAGACTCCGCCTCAAAAAAAAAGAAAAAAAAATTAGCTGGACGTGGGGGCGCATGCCTGTAATCCCAGCTACTCAGGAGGCTGAGGCAGGAGAATGGCGTGAACCCAGGAAGTGGAGCTTGCAGTGAGCCGAGATTGCCCCACTGCACTCCAGCCTGAGGGGACAGAGCAAGACTCCGTCTCAAAAAAAAAAAAAAAAAAAAAAGTTAGAGACCAGCCTAGGCAAAATGGTGGTACCTTGTCTCTCCAAAAAAAAAAAAAAAGCATTAGCCGGGCATGGTGGCCCAGGCCTGTAGTACTAGCTCCTTGGGAGGCTTGGGCAGGAGGATCTCTTGAGCCTAGGAGTTCAAGGGTGCAGTGAGTTGTGTTCATACCACTGCCCTCCAGACTGGGCCACAGAGCAAAACATGACCTTTTTTTTTTTTTTTTAAGAATGATTTTATTCTATTTCACATCATCTCTGGTAGTTGCTCAGTACCACCTCTACCCAGAGAATTCCAGCCTTGAAGGAGGCAACTTGCCAACTTGCCTTCCATTCCTTAGACCCTCAGCACAAAAAAGCCTTAGAGCCAGTCACATTTCTGTCCTTTGCTCAGATGGGGAAACTGAGGCCCCAGGAAGGATGGTGACTAGCCTGGATTCTGAGTGGCAGTGCCAAGACTAGATTTTCTCCTGTTGATGCTAGGTTCTGCATCCATGAGTCTGGAGCAGTCCAGAGGAGCCTGAGACTGGAGAGCCACTCACTGCAGCTGGGCCCTTCTGGCTTCCCCCTCTACAAGGTCAAAGCAAAGGGATGGGGATGCCTGTCTTACCTGCCTACACACCAGTTTGGGCCTGAGGCATCAGAACATTGGTTCCCAGTGGGAAGGAAGGAGATGCCCCTGCTGCCTTTAGGAGAGATTTCCTGCCCAGGTTCAGAGTAACTCTTGCCTGTCAGGCTTGAAGTCTCACTTTGGCTTTAAACTTTCCCCCGTGACTTGCAGAATGCATGACTTACTGCCTTTCTGATCCTTCCCATCAGGCCAGCCAATAGAATGTGGGGAGGCAGCCATGGGGAATGGGGGGAACTGTGAGGACAAGATGCAGTTGTTACCAAGGATGCCAAGCAGCCTAGCCCAAGGCAGTTCTTGGATTTCCCTCCTGCTTACTTTTCGTCAGCATCCTCTGGTATCCTTAGAGTCCTGCTCTGACTGCAGCCCATAATTCTTTGGAACTAAGTTACTACTTTGCGTCTAGCAGACCCTGGAAAAGATGCCTTCAGGGTCTCTGCTAGCTGTGTCCTGTCACTTCCCACCCAGTCTATTTTTTTTTTTTTTTTTTGAATTACAAAGCTACTTTTAATACTTTGGGGTGAGCCCCACAGGAATAAAAAACACTGGGAAGAGGTAACCCCCTCACCCCCAGGAGTGGCCCAGGGGGAGAGAGGCTACCTGAGGGGAACGAAGCACAAAAGGGACCCGCTGCAGACTCAGGGCAAAGGGAATGCCATCGGTGCTGGGACCTGTGAGCACTACAGGAGGAAACGCGAGCGTGGTGGGACTGGCTCCAGGCACACAGGCGAAGGGCAAGAGGGTTGGACACGAAGCCACAAAGCTACTTGGGTTCCTCCTTCTCGTTTGCCTTTTTCTGCTTCTGCTGCATGATCTCCGAGTCCCTCTGCTTGCGGGCGGCAGCAGAAAGCCCGTCATCTTGGCGCTTTCCCTTAACCGAGTCGCTCTGCTTTTTCATATTCTTCTGGCGGGCGAGCTCACGCTGGTTACCGCGGGTCATGGCGATGGCAGCGGCTCCCCACCCAGTCTATTACATGGGTCCTTCTGCCCTTTGCTCCCACCTGCCTGACTTGCCAGCCTTCTCTGTACCATACAAAGAGCCTAAGGGCTTCTTTGAGGTTTTCCAGGCCAGCTCCCTTCTGGTCTGGCTTCATAAAGGACTTGGATCACTGCCCTAAGTTATCTCTACCCAGCTTCTCCATCCCCCTCTTCCTCATCTGTATTTGTGTGCCTTCCCTTTGCTCGGCAGTGTATTCCTTGAAACCTGTACCTATACCTGCTGCTTGGTGGGGACTGTGCCTTCAAAAGCCCTCTGGCCTCTACGTTGTCTGCATCCTGAAATGAGCAGAAATCGCCAGGTGACTGCTCATGGTTGTGGAGTGGGCCTGGGTTCCCCACCCTGGCTCTGCCGCTCAGTTTCAGCATCCCTGTCTGTACAGTAAGAAAATAGGGTAGCTCTGGCTCTCTTTCTCTCCAGCCCCTCTACAGGCCTGGACCAGGGATCCTTCCTGTGTTGGGACCCACCAGTGGGGCCGTTGGTCCTCTGGCAAATGAAGTAGATGGCCCCAGAGAACCTGTGGGTCCAAGTGGAGTGAGGTGAGGCTGCTTCGTTCAGCTGAGAGTGAGCCCTGGGATCTTTCCCCTAGGGTAGTACAGCCTATCCTTGGGAGTTTCCAAACAAAAGTGTTTCCATTCCTTACTCCTAAATGTGGACTTGGGGAGGGTCTTTGAAAGTCAGCTAGACCGATCTCTAGTTGAACCTCAAGGACTGAGGTTCGGAGCAGAGACTGCTGGCTCCCACTTTGCCTGGCCAGAGAATTGGTCTGATGGTGCCCACACCTTCACCAGAGGCCCTTTGGTGACCCCATGCATGTTTCCTTTGCAGGACAAGATTAGATGCACCCCGGTTGGAAACAAAGTCCCTGAGCAGCTCCGTGTTACCACCCAGCTATGCTTCAGATCGTCTGTCAGGAAACAACAGGGACCCTGCTCTGAAACCCAAGCGGTCCCACCGCAAGGCAGACCCTGATGCTGCCCACAGGTACTAAGCTTAGGATCCGCAGCAAAGGCCAGCAAAGGCTTGGCTGCAGGGTGAGATGGATGGAGAAGCCTGGGGTAGGCTGTTTATGAGCCTTGGTTTGCTCACTCTTTCAAAATCTTATGTCTGGTTCCTCTGGGTTGGTGCCATTGGTGACATTCCCACCTAACCCTGGCCAACTGCCTGTACCCCCAGAGAGAAGGGGTCAGGCAGAGACTGTAACAAATGGGAATATCATGGCTTTCCCATGACTTTCCTTGTTCGGTTCCACCCAGACAGACGTCCTTGTGAAATTATTTTAGGTGTCAGGAGGGAATCTTGGGACTTGGATAATAGTGAACCAGGGACTTACTTCAAAAAGGGTTGGATAAAAGGAATTTGAGATCATTTTTTTAAAGGAAAAAAAAATGTTTTGGCCGGGTGTGGTGGCTCACTCCTGTAATCCCAGCACTTTGGGAGGCCAAGGCAGGCAGATTACAAGGTCAGATCAAGATCATCCTGGCTAACACGGTGAAACCCCATCTCTACTAAAAATACAAAAAAATTAGCCGGGCTTGGTGATGGGCACCTGTAGTCCCAGCTCCTCTGGAGGCTGAGGCAGGAGAATGGCATGAACCTGGGAGGCGGAGCTTGCAGTAAGCCGAGATGGCGCCACTGCACTCCAGCCTGGGCAACAGAGTGAGACTCCGTCTCAAAAAAAAAAAGTTTTAAGTGTTGGGGAAGGTTTCCAAGGAGGTAACGTTTAAGTTGATTCCAGAAGGATAAGGAAGATATGGAAGAGCATTCTAGGCGGGAAATACTGTATGAGCTAAACCCTGAGACACAAAAGAGCTTTGTGGTTTCAGGGGGTAATGGGGTTGGTAAGTGGAGAAGGGAGTGTTGGGAGGCCCAAGAGAGAGAAAGTGGGTAGAGCTGGGAAGTAAAGGTAGATGGCAGAACGATGCAGAGTCTTGAGGCTGTGGTAGGGAAGATCTCTGTCCAGCAGCCCTGGCAGTGTCCCAGGGCACCAGACTCTAAGCCAGGCAGACCCCACAGGGCAATTGGGAAATGTCCCAAAGACTGGGGTGGTCACTGGCAGTTAGTGGGCAAGAACCTCTGATACCAGGGCCTCTGCCAGGACTACCCTTCATTGAGGACCACTGAGCTGGAGTGACCCATCCCAAGGATGAGACCAGGTATAGTGGTAAAGCCAGGCCCCTCCTGACAGCCTCTCAGATAACGCCCTGCTTCCCTTTCCTTGCAGGCCACGGATCTTGGAGATGGACAAGGAAGAGAACCGGCGCTCGGTGCTGCTGCCCACACACCGGCGGAGGGGTAGCTTCAGCTCTGAGAACTACTGGCGCAAGTCCTACGAGTCCTCAGAGGACTGCTCCGAGGCAGCAGGCAGCCCTGCCCGAAAGGTGAAGATGCGGCGGCACTGAGGTCTACCCGCCGCCCTCCTGGGAACTCTGGCTCATCCTTACGTAGTTGCCCCTCCTTTTGTTTTGAGGGTTTTGTTTTTGTTTATTGGGGTTTTTTTTTTTTTTTTTTAATTCTATATATTTTTCCTTGGTTTTGTTGCCTGTTAAGGCTGAAGAATAGAATTGGCCAGGACCTGGGTTCTCATATTCTTGGTATTCCTCCTGGATGAAAAGGTTGTTGGCATCTATAGGGGACAGAGGCTGATGCTGGAGTGGCCAGTAGAGGTGGTGGAGCAGAGCAGCCATCTTTTAAGTGGGGCTGTATCAGGCTGGGTTTATTTAAAAGCAACAAAATGTTTTGGTTAAGAAAATTATTTTGCTTTCAATGTAAATCTCCGCAGTGTTCTAAACAAAGTTCAGTCTTCTGCCCACCCCTTTTCTCCACTGGATGTCTGTACTTGGTTGAGGTCTCCTGGAGCCTCACAGGCTCTACATGGGGGCTGCTGTTCTCCACTTCTCACCTGCCATCCACGCTCTGCAAGCTCATGCAAACACCCTTTCTTCCTCCTGCGGCAGAGTTGTTCAGGTTGCCTGGGCAGGGGCTTAAACAGTGCCAGCCCCTGCCATCCCAAAGCTATTGTTAAGCCCCCCAGGCTTCCTCCACCCACACCCACTAGCCTACTCTGTCCACAGTTCCTTGGGCTGCTGAGGGGCTAGTGCAGTGGTCCTGACCTCTCTTATCAAGAGCACACTTTTTTGCTGGTTGCTCCTTTTGAGCATATGCGTGTGATTATTTGGAACAGTTAGACTTGCCACGTTGGGTCAGTTTTAGAAATTGTTTCTAGCTAGAGGGACTGGTGTCCTTCCAAGTCTAGCATTTGGGGTATGGAAAATTGTTGTGGTGTGTGGTAGGGTTTTTGTTTTCTTTTGTTTTGAGTTTTTTTCCCCCTTTAGTCTCCTGGCTTTTTCCTTTCCCCTCCCTTCTCCATTGGCCAGCTTGGGCCTCATCCTCATGTCATCCTTCTAGGAAGGCGCCTGCCCCCTCTTGTCTGCCGGCAGCATGCATCCAAGGCCAGAACTCAGGCCTGCAGACTGGGCTGGTGCTTCCTCCGCTTCAGGGTATGGGAGTTGGTGAAGGGGCTTTCAGAAAAAAAAGGTAAAGTCTTTGGTAGCTTCTACCCACTCAGATCCTGGAAGGCAGAAAGGTTTTGTGGATCTAGATTCATTAGGAATGTCTTCTTGTCAGCCAGGCCAGGACCTGGGCTTGCCAAGAGCCGAGGCCCTCCCAGCAACCAGGATACCACCACTTTGGGGGCTTTGTGTACAGAGGTCTGGGCCTGAGACCTCATAGGCTGCAGAAATCTGGGGCAGCCACCATCAAGAAGCCCCTCTCAGGGGCCAGAACTCCTTTGCCAGCGTGGATTTCTCAAGTCGGGACTGCATAATTAAAGCAGTTGCAGTTTTATTTTTTTTACAGCTTTTTTCCCAAAAATGATTTGTAGTTGTGTGTGCAGCACTTTGCCCTGATATGTGTGCTCTACAATAAAAACCAAATCTAATATATTTTGAAACAGTTGTCTGATGTTGTTGTAAGAGAGGGCTTGCCTTTGGTGCTTCCTTAATCCCTTTACTTTCTTAAACTTGGAACAGGGGTTGGGGAGGCAGAGCTCATTGCCCACCAGCATCCCAGAGGAGTTGATTGGTCATGGACACTGGGCCTCCTGTGTGCCCAGCCTCGGGTTTATGGCTGAAGGTGGACTTGCCCTCTCCCCACTGTTCTTTCTTCCACTCCAAGGAGGGTGAACTTCATAAACCATGGTGTCCAGGTGCCCAGGGACCACACCTTCTGGAGTTCTGGAAGCCCCTCTTTCAGATGTGATCACTGAGAGGCTGGTGCTGGTGAAGGGAAATGGCAGGCACAAAAGCAAGGGAGAACCTGGCTTTTGTGGAAAATATGCGAGTGATTTTGCTTATTAAACAAATACTTGGCCAGGCATGGTGGCTCACACCTGTAATCCCAGCACTTTGGGAGGCCAAGACAGGTGAATCACCTGAGTTCAGGAGTTCAAGACCAGCACGGGCAACTTGGCGAAACCCCATCTCTACTAAAAATACAAAAATTTAGCCAGGTGCATTAGCATCCGCCTGTGGTCTCAGCTACTAGTGAGACTGAGACAAGAATTGATTGAGCCTAGGAGGCAGAGGTTGCAGTGAGCTGAGATTGTGCCATTGCACTCCTGCCTGGGCAACAAAGCGAGACCTTGTCTCAAAGAAACAAAAAAAACTTCAGTTCCTATTGTATACCAAGCCACACTGGGACCCCAATAGTGAGCAGAACTCTGGTCCCTCCTTTCAAGATGCTTGTGATAGTGTGGAGTGCAGGTGCTAGCATGAAGCAGATGTTTTTCAGTGGGTAAGGCTGGGCGCCAGAGGGCTTTAGTCCCTCCAGACCTCAGACCTGGCTCCCTATGCCTGGTAAAGGGCTTCTATCTAGAGTCTCTTACTCTGTTCATAGTGCTCAGAACCAGTCTTCTTGGCCAAATTGTTGCTGTGGAAACTGGATAAGCTACTTACCTCCTCATTTACCAGAGAAGAGAAACTCCAGAGTGGGGCAAGTAATTGGCCTCGGCTTAGTCTGAAAACTAGTGTGAGGGTATGAAGAGAGAGGGGACAGAGTCTCAGTGTGGTCTGTGGCTAGTTGGGCCTGGAGAGGTTAGACGCTGAGCTAGGCAGAGTGGACCTTGTATCCCCTGGAGAAGGAAACACTGGATCTGAGGGAAAGTGACTTGCAGAATGTCATCCAGAGTGTAAACGGCAGAGGTGGACATCCCCCACTGCATGCCTGAGCTTCTGACTCTTGGGGCATGGGATACGGGCTCAGTGAAGGTTTGGGGGAGTGCGAGGAACCCTCTTTTTTTTGTGGCGGACCCTATTTTTCATTGCCGTTAGAAAGTCAGACTCCTGGCTGGGTGCAGTGGCTCATGCCTGTAATCCCAGCACTGGGAGGCCGAGGTGGGCGGATCACGAGGTCAGGAGTTTGAGACCAGCCTGGCCAACATAGTGGAACCCCGTTTCTACTAAAAATACAAAAAACTAGCTGGGCATAGTGGCGGGCCCCTGTAATCACAGCTACTTGGGAGACTGAGGCAGGAGAATCGCTTGAAGCTGGGAGGTGAAGGTTGCAGTGAGCCGAGATCACACCACTGTACTCCAGCCCAGCGGACAGTGCAAGACTCCATCTCAAAAAAAAAGAAAAAGACTCCCAGCCTGACCAACATGGTGAAACTCCATCTCTACTAAAAATACAAAAATCAGCTGGGCGTGGTGCCAGGCTCTGGTAATCCCAGCTACTTAGAAGGCTGAGGCAGGAGAATCGCTTGAGCCTGGGAGGCAGAGGTTGTAGTGAGCTGAGATCGTGCCACTGCACTCCAGCCTGGGCGACAGAGCGAGTCTCCGTCTCAAAAAAAAAAAAAAAAAAACAGTCAGACTCAGCCCAGGACAGTGGTCACACGCCTGCTCAGCGTCCCAGCACTTTTGGAGGCCAAGATGTGACAGATTGCCTTTGACCCAGGAGTTTGACAGCACCAGCCTGCGTAACATGG